GAGCAGATCCGTCAAGGGTTTAGGGTTTAGGGTTTAGGGTCCTATGCCCGCCCTTTGGGGGGCATCATGCTCCTGATGCGCCCCCGGGGTCCCCTGATGCGCGCCTGGTGGTCCCGGGCTGAACCCGCTGATGCTCATGATGCGCGCCCCTTGGGGGGCATCATGGGGCATCCGCGCCCGTCCCATTTTTCGTGCCTCAACCCACGAAAACCGACCGGGCCGCGAAAGGTCGGCGGCACTGGCGTTCGGCCTAATTCTGCTTCGCAGAAGGCCAGAGGCCAGCAAGGCTATTCCCGGGACGACCCGGGCTAAAAGGTCCGCATTTGCTCGGTCCTTTGGGGACCTCGCGCTGCCCGATTTAACGGCTACCGCCAGTGCCGCCGACCTCAGACAGGAGGGCGGGCGGCAGGCCGGCAAACCGCAGAGCCAGTACAGGCTCCGAGATTTAGGGTTTAGGGTTAAGGGCTGTAGCAAAAACTATTTAAAAAGAATGAGTTCTATGTATAACTAATATCTATACACATAGTATTTTAAAGTATGTAATGAGTTTTTGGTAAACATGAAGACCAAAAGATAAAGGAGATATCTTTTAGTTATCTTTTATCTTTTTATATCTGTATAAAACCGAAATTCATATCTTTGGGGCTCGGGGCAGGGCGCTAAGGGCGGTGGGGGCGCGAGGGTTGGGCATGCGCTGCAAGTGTGAGGGGGGTGATGAAGCAGGCAGCAGCCTGTACTGTGTGAAAGCATTGCAAGGTGGGGTGGGGGTGGGGGGGTGAGGGGGGAGGTGGGGGGGTGGGGGGGCGGGGGGGGGGAGATTTCCTTGTCATGTAGGAGGCGAGCAGGGGGGGGGGTGGGGGTGGGGTGGGGGGGGGTGGGGTTTGGGGGAGGTTTGGGTTGGGGGCGGGGGGGGGTGGGGGGAGGTGGGGGGGGGGGGGGGGGGTGGGGGGTGGGGGGAGAGGTGGGGAGTGGTGAAGGGGGGGGTGGGGGGTTGGGGGTGGGGGGGAGTGGGGAAGGCCAAAAAAGCAGTGGGCCCGCTTCTGGCTGGGGTCGGCGTCAGACTGCCAGACTAAGTCCAGCAGGTGACTACTTTCGTGAAGCAAGCGTTTTGGACGGTTTGGGCAGGATGCCCCGGATCACATGAAAGGGGAACATCACTTGTTTGTGCTCTGAGTTCGCCAGAGCATCCAGAGCTGAGCAGCTTAGGCAACGGTTACCTTTTCATTACAGGACGAGTGGACAAGGCCAGCTCCTTAGACTTGAGTGCCGCGTGCTCAGTAAAGGGGTGATAGCAAGTCTGGGACTTGATGCTCCTGATTACACAGCAGTGTAGATGCTGCACCAGACTTCGGAACAAATCAATTGGAACCCGCAGAACAGATAGGTTTCGTTCGGCAGCCGTCTGAAGGTGGTGAAAGTCCGCGGATTTCGTATTGACATGGACGGCCTCGAAGCCAAACTGCTCACCTGCCGGCAGCTCACAGCATCCGGGCTAGGCATATCAGGGAACAGGAGAGCTGGTCTTTCCCGCTTGAGGACCGTAAGGGTTTTCTTGACGAGCTACCCATCCATTCTAGCGCCACCCTTCCCTTTTGCATGATTGGGAGGCCTTTTGTGTCAAGCATGGTTACAGCAGGGTATGTACGGTATTGGAATGCAGGATGATAGGCGACAGTCTTGTTCAGAGCTTAGGAAATTGCAGTGATCAATGACGCTGACAACCTGTACTGCGTGGTGGTGACAACGGATCTGTCTTCGCTCAAAGCCTTTGCGCAGGACGAATGCTGCACAAATATGCGTGAGCCAAGTGTAACCACGAACACGCTTGTCACATGTAGGCCCCCCCAAGACTTCAGTGCGATCTTCAGTCCTTGCGTAGCCTTGGCACAAGCGGCCCCATACAATCGTAGCATGGGCTCAGCGAACTTACACTGCCAGCGTCGGAAAGTTTGCAATGGAATAACCCTTTACCATTTGTCCACTGGCAGCTGCCTAGCAGCCAACTAGTTGCCTAGAGGTTGCCAGCACAAGTTTCTTTACGAATCACCATGAACGTGCGTGAACGTGAAGTCGCCTTGAAGTGTGAACTGGGCCTCCCACTCTCTTGGCATCCGAAAGACCGGAGCCTTCCAAGGCTTCGAGATGCTAGATCTCAGTCCTCTTTGTTGGGAAACTCGCCACTGCTTGCTCGACGTTGTCTTGCGAGCGGTCATTTGGGAGCTTCACAGTGAAGGGAGTTGTAGCCTCCTTACCCGAGTGCAGGAGAATTACACCCATTGGGCACTCATAGTCTTTTGGCTGCAGGTTTTGAAGGGATGGTTTGAAGGCTCGTATCAGCAACGTGAGTCATGTCGTTCCGGGAGGCCGTCCATTCAATCAATTGCGAAGACTGAGCATTCTACTCGAGAATAGTGGACTGCCGATGGTCACCTTCATCTGGATCTTGCAACATGCCATGCGATTCATGTGCAGAGCGATCCCAGCAAAGTCCCACTAGACAGGTTTGGGTTCCAGCCACTTGGATTGAATTCATGAACGATGCTGCACAGTGCTGGCATGGTATGTGCTCAGCGCTTGAGACAAGTATCGGACGACATAGGCCGTCTGCACTCAATGCGCGATCGTGCAAGCTTGCTTTTCTCGAGATGCGCAGATAGAGCAGCGCAATGGTTTCCACTGGTATCACTGTAGGTGCTACACAGGTGCGCTTGCGACTTGAGGTGACATCTGCCTCCCATGTTGTTTCGCTTTAGCTGCTTTGTCGAGACGCATCAAGTCATTGCCAAAGAGGTTGTGTGGCACGAGCTGCTTTTGGCATGTACTAGCTAGCGCTAAGCAACATGTTCTTGTTCCTTCATGCAAGCAGACCAGCAAGGCAAGCCCAGGCAAGCAGTGAACTGTCCATGGGTTTGCTGTATATCGGACTCGCGATGAAGGGTCCGGAATCTCTCAGGTGGCTTCGATGCCGCAGACCAAGTCTGGCAAGAGAAACCGCGCGGCGATCAGGTCCCTCACGACATTCAGGGGTTGCCCAAGGTTGTTTGGTGCTAAGTCCACGCAAGACACGGCCGCATCATGCAACTACTTGTACCAGCAGAAAAAATAGGGCGACACAGTCGAGAAAAGGTAAGCCGGTTGACAGGTAAGACGACTTTCGGATACATTATTGGAATTCCGTCGCAGCCGAGGGAGATGGTGGATCAGCATTACAAGCTCACGGCGAGCGATGACAATGACAATGTGCAGGCAACATTTTTTTGGAGATTATGGCAGTTTTGCTTTTTGGTGGTCAATGGGAACGGCAGGCTGACGACCTCTCGCCAGAAGAGCTGAAAGTGGCAGAAGCTGTTGAGAAGGCCTTCGATTTGTGAGCCGGCCTGAACTCCCAGAGCCCCCCTTTCGGAAAGGTTTTGCAGTGCAATCGCAACTGGTCGAGGTACTCGGTCGAGCCATCGGGCGCAACATGACCTTCACTCAGGTGCGGTGCCGGCAAAACTTATGCATGGAGCATTACTGATCTAGACGCAGGTCTCTTTCGCCGGAAGTATACATGATAATCATAGTCTGTGCGAGGAATTCGCGAAAGAGTCGCGCAGCTACTAATTTATGAAGGCCCTGGTCCGCACACTGAGCGGACCGCGGGCTGGTATGGGGTGCCACCGTGTCTGCCGCAATTGCGGACTGCTGCCCTCATCGGCGACAGCCATGGCAGGTCTCTCCGACCCTCAGGTTGGCCTGCGTCTGCTCCGTGCTTGCGCTACCATTTGGATGCGCTCGTCCAGTTTGACCAGCTCGTCCTAGGTTCGTTCGCAAACTGGCAAGCCTGCCTGTGAGCAAGGCTCAGCATGAGCAAGCTTCCCGAAAAAGTGCGTGGGCGGGCCTCAGGTGTGCACTCGGCCACTCGCCACGCCCTGCAAAGAAGCGTGTGTGCCGAGCTTGTCCCGAGCCTGCATGCGGGTGCTTGCCGCATAGAGCCCGCAGTGTACCTGATGCTGCGGCCGACAGGTTTTGCCCTCGCTGCGGCAGTGTGCTTGGCACCCACTCGCGGCATGCAAGCATGTGCCCAGCAGGTGGCTGGCACCACCCGCTCCGAGACCCTTGCCACTGCTTGCCTGGTGCAGGCGTCCTCCTTGTGACATGTGCCCTGGCCTGTCGCTTCAGCAGCCGGCGTCTGCCTGTCGGTCAAGCTCTGCAGCTTGTAGTTTCAGCGCCCTACTGCCGTAGCATGCCGTAGTAGTCTTCATAGCGCCTTTGGCCTGTCAAGCAGAAGTGCTGGACTGGCCGATCCTGAACCTTGTGATTGTTCCGGGGAGTCCCAATTGTAAGACCACGGGCGGAAGACGGTCCCAGTATCCGAGTAGCTGTCCTTCGTTGTCTTTAGCATGTCCATACGCTTGAAAACACATGCTACCCAAAGAAGCTGCTGCTGGGCGTTTCAACGCCGGTGTTGAGTCCAATTGTGGCGCGTTTCAAGGAAAGATCCCGAAGCCAGCTGACGGAAACATGCGCAGACCGCCACAACACACATAGCTCTTCGGTTTCCCAAATTTTTGGATTAGAAATCAATTCAATCCATCTAGGTCGCAGTTGAAGCTCACTAGTTGTGGTGGTGTTTGGCCCGATGAAGTGTCACTGAACAGCACCTGGACCGTCAAAAGGCTCCTCATACTGCAACACGTCAAGACACCCGATGCATCTCTAAGTTAAATGGTGGGTCAGGTATGTCACAGTTGCTCTGACTGAAGGCTGGGGCGCACTCCTTGTCAGCCATGAGGCCAGGGGAGAAGGTATTCTTCTGAAACGTTTGGTAGACATGTTAGCATCTAGGTACTCATCCGCGGCTCCCTCTCTCGCTCTCTCTGTCGGCTTCTGCCTCTGCCTCTGCCTCATGGTTCTGGCTCTGCCTCTGTCTTTGTCTCTGTCTTTGTCTCTGTCTCTGTCTTTGTCTCTGTCTCTGCTCTGTCTGTCTCTGTCTCTCTTGTTCGCCTTGCCCATCGCACTCAGAGGCGTGCAGGTTGGTCTTTGATGACTCTCTTGGCTGGCGGGCTGGAGCTTGGATTGTGTTTGTTTGAGCGGCAAGTAATGCTACGTTCCGCAGGATTGCCAAAGCACTGGAGAACCTTGGCTTCAAAGCAAGAAGATGCAACCAGCAGTCTGGCAGCCTTCCCATGTGCTGTAGCACACAGCAGAACGCGGATTTCAACATTCTGGTAGTGATGGGGACATGCCTGGGGCACATGTACCTGAAACTCAGGATTCCAACCCACATGCTCTTTGCGCACCCCACGGTTGCCTTGCTTGCCAAAGCACTTGCTGAAGAGGCGAAGCCGGTAGGCGGTGGCATTCAGCGTTTGGGCATTTTTTAGACGATTGGGATCACCGAAGTGGCCCTGGCAGGCTGCGGTCGCGAAGGTCGAGGAAACTTTGGCGAAGAAGATGCCTTCGCCTTCTTTGGGTCCTTTGAAGCAACACACCTTTTGCGCTAACATTCTGTACTGCTTGCTTTGGTTTTGCCGCGCACTTGCTGACGCACGGTCCAT